CACAACAGATGGTCATCCTTTCACTTCTCAAACTAGAATCATCATCTGGCKTTCACTGTGGGGTGTAAGTTGTGTCTGGCTTCTATGCAGCCTTCAGGATTGACAAGGTACTTCCTAGCTGGGGATTCACAGTGAGGCAAAGAGGATCACCAGCCCTCCCTCAGAGGCCCAGCGAACACGACGCTGGACAAGGTCATCTGGTTTCTTTCTTACTGCTCACCACCTAAGGTTCTAGCAATTAATAACAGGCCTAAATCAATCTGAGAGTTTTCCAATGTAAGGGAGGAAGAGGACCCTATTTCTCAGCCAACTCCATGGGCCGGGTGCTGCTGCCATGGACCTGGGGCCCAGACTGGAGAGAGGGAGAGTTCCAGACTGCCTAGTCAGCTCTGCTGTCCCTCCTGCTCCTGTTTCGTACAATCTTTGAGCAGACCATTCACTCCAATGAAGACCTCCACTCCCCCTGTAACACAGGGGCCCAGGCCTTGTCAGGTAGGAACCTCTATTCTCAATTACTCCCCACCCATCTGAACAGGAATACCAWGAGGGTGACTACCTGGCATTCAACTGGGCTTGTTTCTATTGAGGGTCTCCTCCAAGGAGGGGTGTGGAATGTGGCACTTAGGCCACTGCTGGGGGACAGAGCTGCAAGAGGGCAGAACATTCAAATCCAACGAGCATTTCTATACTTCAAGGCTGCTGTGGGGGACAGCACTTTCACAGGCTGTCCCTTGCTCACCAGGCTCCTTCTGCCTCTCCTCTCCACGACCTGGCCCTTGGTGGCACCTGCTTCCTTTCTTTCTCCTGTGGTCCATTTTCCACAGGGCAGCCAGCAGAACAGCCTGGCCTTCTGAAGGCTTGCCTGCCTCTCCTCCTGTGTCCCCAGTGCAGTCGCTCTCACTGCTGTGCTCCTCACCACCTCCCATATATTTTCCCTAAAAAATCCCCAATCCTCCCTCTCTGGTCTTTGCTCTTGGTCTTCCTTCTGGGGAGAATGCCAAAGCCAGCCCTTCCCATCCATCCATTCTCAGTTCAGATTCTACTTCCTTAGGMGTACTCCCTGAAAATCTTATCGAGAGTAGGTCCCCTCCCATCACTTTCTCCTTAGTGACACTTACTCAATCCCATGACCCTATTATTCTTTTCCATAGCCTGCTCTCTGACATTCTTATCTATCATTTGCTTGGTCCCATCACCATGTAAATGCCATAAGAACAGGGTCTTTGTCGGCCATATCCATGGCTGTCTCCTGGAGCCCGGTGAAACCAGACACTCAAATATTTGTTAAATATTTTATAATCTGCTTGTCTCTCTTTAAACCAAGGGGTTACAAGCATTGGTCTGGAAGCAAAGCAGACCTGTGGTGACCTTCCCACTTACCAGTTGGGAGAAGCCACAGATTCTCTAGATTTTATTCTTCTTTATAAAAGAATCAAGAGTTCTCTCAATGGCAGCTATCATTAATCTTAGAGTTGCACTTCCCCACCAGGCCAGGACCCCTGATGGCAGGCACTTTATCCATCATTTATCTCTGTATCCATGTGCCTTGAGAGTCAGCTCACCTCCTCAGCTTGCTCTACTTCCCCTCTCCCAGGACGTGACACAGTATCCTAAAGAGTCTCTGTATCCAACAACCCTGAGTTCCATTCTATGGGTACAGGAATATCTACAAAGCTTAGCAAGCTATTGTAAAATACATAGCACAGTGAATAAGACTAGTAGGAGATAATAATAATAATAATAATAATAATAATAATACCAAGTGTATCCAAAAAATATATTTTGAATTAAATTCTCTCTAGAAGAGATATTTAAAATATATGAATTAGAGAATAATACTAAGTAGTATATGATCAGGCACTGAATTACCTATCATCAAGTGATAAAATGTAAGGTGGCCACGCAAGGGACCCAGGTAGGCAAGGAGAGTAGAGAACACATCTCTCAAAGCAACTGTCACTCAGTGCCAGCTCTTTGTGGATCATGGGCCTGATGGGCTCACAGCCTCAGATTTATCAGGTAAAGCTAGACATCTGAATTCTTTTCATAAGCTCTCTCAAGTTTTCAAATTGCTGACAACACACTTAAAATGTATTGAACAATAACTGAGATGTGCAAAGCATGTTTGGGGAGCCATTTTATAACCTCTGACCTCGGGCTCAAGGTGACTGGATGGAGAGTGAGTCCCAGGTGGTCATTAATATAAGAATCTATCAGACCCTGGTTATCAAAAGGCATCATTTCTTCATTTACTCACTGACTATCTTATAAAACCAAAGAGCAATTTTTCAGTACTGGAGGCTGAACCCATGTTGTGTGTGTATGTGTGGGAGGGGGACTCAGCTACATCTCCACTACCTTTTCATTTTGAGGCAGGGTTTTGCAAAGCTACCCAGGCTGGCCTTGAACTTACTATTCTCCTGTCTCAGCCTCTTGAGTTGCTAGGACTACAGGTGTGCACCACTACTTCTTTCCTCCCAGCCATATCAGGCAGTAATTCTTCATCCATGGGCAAGAATTTCCCTCAACCATCCATCAAACATTTATTGAATAACTGATAAGTGTAGGTGTCTTCCCTCTGAAACTTTATATTGGTCAGTTCTAGAAATTAACCTGAATAGATAGCCTTGAGAAATTAGGAGAGGCAGCTAGACAACTAGGCCTAGTTACTCAAGCATTAGATCTGATTCAGAGCTTTGGCAGCAGACTGTCATTCAAGGGTATCCTTCTATGAATTTTCAGATCCTGGTCAACCCACTCAGTGCCACCTGGGGGCAACGTGGCCTACCACATCTGCCAGTAGCAGAGGTTCCCAGTCTGACAGACATGAGATGATTAGTCCTTGTCTCAGTCTAACTCTTCCCTATAAAATGGGTAGCTACCCACACTCAATGGTAGTTAGCAACAGCCCCAGAGAATGTGTTATTTAAAAGCCCAGAGGAGTGTCACCACGTCACATGTGTCTGAGGCCAGTCTGAAAATATTTCAATTGAGTCTGCACATGCAGTACACAGAAGCTTCATTTTGGTCTAGCTTATGCTGTGATCTTAGACTTGCTGAAGGACTAACTTCCATCACAGCTCTGACAATATTGATTGTTCTGGCTTAAAGGTACATAAGTAGATTGATTTTTTTATTCTCTCAACCCGAAAAGGATCACAGTARTAGTATATTTCTGTTTCCAGGGATTGGTATACATGCTGAATAAATAATAGCATTACTTGGAAAAATTTAGTTAGAAGAAACAATGATGGAAAACAGGGTATAAGTCTTATGTTGCATTCTTAGAAATTAGTTTTGGGGGCTTCCTAAACTTGTCCATTGTAAACAAAGCCCACAATTCTCAACCCCATTATTTCAAATAAATAAATAAATACCCCCCCCACACACACACACACTTTGGTAGCCTACATCTTAGGTACCAGAAATGAAGCCAGCAGGGGGTAAAATGTCCTCTGCGGTGGAGGTTAATAAGCAATACTCCTGTCACTTCCTTCTCAAAGTCAGCAGGAAGGAAATATATCCACCAGGGGCCTCTGCTAATTTGTTTCTAATTCAAGGACAATTAGGCAATTCCTACATCCCCCACCCCCAAGAAAAGCTGCGATTACTACATGACTCTTCTCAGGACTCAAAAAACTGGTAACTCTCTAGAAACAACAGAGGTTATGAAATGAACTTTGTATAACTTCGAGGGACACGTAACAAACAGCGCATCGGTTTTAGATGCCAGCCAGTAACTGCMTTCATTCTGTTTTACACCGTTTCCTTTCTCTGGATTGTTTTCTACCCCAAAGTTCAAACTACTTGTACTGGAAATGCCTCTGCGCTGAAGAGCTTCGTGCCAGTAAAGACTCTCTTCCTATGATCGTGAGGTCGAGAAATAACCTTCTGGACAAGGAAAGAAATAAGCCAAAGTCCTGGTGACTCTGCTCCTCCCTCTCCAGGTACTGAGAAATAAGAAATAAGAAAGGGAAAARAAGCAACACTAACTCTCCTTCTCGTCCTCATTTCTAGACTGGCAGGTGGCTTTTGCCTTTCAACTTCTTAGAGCACCAGCTCTGAAAAACACGGAGGCAGCCGAGGACCCAGGGGCCTGGGTAGGGGGCCGGCCCCAGTTAGAGGGTTGCGTATTTATCAGCGGGATTTAAACCGCTCTGGAGGGGGCGTGGCCCGGGCGGAGCCCCGTGGCCCGGGTGGGCGGGGCGGGGGTGGGGATCCCGGCGGCTCTGCACCGTGTGGGAAAGACCTGAGCTCTGGAGCTAGCGCCTGTCTCTTTAAATGCCACGGGCTGCGCTCCCGCCCGGGAGCCCGGAGCCGGATCTACAATCCGTCCCTCCCGCTCCGGCGCTTGTTGCTCGCGCGGCCCGAGCGGGAGCTACCGCCGCCGGGAAGMGAGGCTGCCTCCTTCTCCTCGCGCCCCACGTCCCTCGAGAGCTGGCTGAGCGCGGCCAGCAGGGCCTGCGGGAGGGAGGGGGCGCGGTGTGAACAGGAATTGCCCCCCACCTTCAAGTCTTGGKGCGCCACCCAGCCGCGGGGAAGACATGCTTCTCTACCCCCTGCCCAGCGTCGCTGCCGCCGGTGCTGGGCGAGGAGGGACTGCGGAGCCCACACCCGCAAACTCGTCCTAGAAGTCTCGGGGCGCGGCCAGGGGCCCCTCCCAATYTCCCTCGGCTTCCACCTCCCTGCGGGTGAGTTAGAGCCGGTAACCCGAAGCCGAAGCCGAAGCCGAGGGCGGGCGAGCGCGGGGGAGGGGAAAGGCGCCGGAGGAGGAAGCGCCGCAGGTGAGCCAGGTGGGGTGGCTCACCTGCCTGGGCCGCGCTGCGGAATCCTCGCTTGTTCCTCGGGGAGGAAGGCGTCGAGGGACGTCTCCGGGGCCAGTTAGGGCCTGCAGTGGGAGTGGGAGTTGGAAAGGGGAGATTGGAGTAAAGTTTCTATTTCCTTCTTCCCTCCTGCCTGGGCTTGGCAGGTAGGGCGCGGGCGGAAGCGGCAAGAGCCACTGATGCMATGGCTTTTGCCCCGACCAGGTGAATGCTGGTGGCGGGGGAGAGCTGGAGTTGCCTTATCTCTTGTTATCTCGACCTTAGAGGAGAAGAAARGCGCGCTACGATCGAGACTCTCCTAAAATGGCCCCAGGTGCTCGGTCTCCTCTCCTTTCTCTTAACAGAATGTCTTTTACCTGGAGGGACTCTTACAGATATGGCTTTCTTGCTTTCTCTTCCAACAGGTGGCCGCAACCCCTGTCCGGGGACCTGTGCCAATGACCCTAGTGGCGGTTTTGCTTTCTCCCCTCGCGGCGSTGTGAACGTGCGTCCACAGCGTGATGGGCAACCAGGTGGAGAAACTGACCCACCTAAGTTACAAGGAAGTTCCAACGGCCGACCCTACTGGTGTGGACCGGGACGACGGTCCCCGCATCGGTGTCTCKTATATCTTTTCCAATGACGACGAGGACGTAGAGCCACAGCCACCGCCCCAAGGGCCGGATGGCGGTGGCTTGCCTGACTGTGGGGAGCGGCCGCCGCTACCCCCGCCGCAGCCTTACGACCCGCGGCTACACGAGGTAGAGTGCTCAGTGTTCTATCGCGACGAGTGCATCTACCAGAAAAGCTTTGCGCCAGGCTCGGCGGCGCTGAGCACTTACACACCTGAGAACCTGCTCAACAAGTGCAATCCAGGCGACCTGGTGGAGTTTGTGTCTCAGGCGCAGTACCCGCACTGGGCGGTATACGTGGGCAACTTCCAGGTGGTCCACCTGCACCGGCTGGAGGTGAGCAACAGCTTTCTGACTGACGCGAGCCAGGGCCGACGTGGCCGTGTGGTTAACGATCTGTACCGCTACAAGCCTCTGAGCCCCAGTACGGTGGTGCGCAACGCGCTGGCGCACGTGGGCGCCAAGGAGCGCGAGCTCAGCTGGCGCAACTCAGAGAGCTTTGCCGCCTGGTGCCGCTATGGCAAGCGCGAGTTCAAGATCGGCGGCGAGCTGCGCATCGGCAAGCAGCCCTACCGCTTGCAGATTCAGCTCTCGGCTCAGCGCAGCCACACGCTGGAATTCCAGAGCCTGGAGGACTTGATCATGGAGAAGCGGCGAAACGACCAGATCGGACGCGCGGCGGTACTGCAGGAGCTCGCCATGCACCTGCACCCAGCGGAGCCAGACGAGGGCGACAGCGATGCTGCGCGGACTACGCCGCCTCCCAGGCCCACCCCTTCACCAGGCTTGGAGGGGGAGGATGGAGAGGCTGTGGCACACTGACGGGCGAGTGGAGGGCAGCTCTGCAAAAGGGAGTTATTTGCAGCAGCTGCTGCCCCTTTTCATCTCCTCTTCCTCCCTTCCTCCCTCCCTCCTCTGCCGCCACCTGGGCCCCACGGGGATTCCTGGGCCCTTTGGAAAATGGAGAGTTGGAGAAATACGCAGCCGGCTGTGAACAGGGAAGGAGGAAGGGAACAGAGGGAGCAGGTAGGAGTACTTTTGAGTGGTAGTATTTCCTTCCGGGCCCCCTCAGGCTTGTCTTCCTTTCTGTTGTGGGATGAACTGAACCATAGATTTAATCTGGGTTCAGAATCGACCCTTAAACACGCAAGGCTGGAGAAAGTTCAGAGTACCTATCAGAGCCCTGCCATTGCCTCTGCTTCCCCCTCTACACTGAGCTCAGAGCAAAGGTACAAAGGCCAGAGGGGGGTTGGGGAGGCGCCACCATGGCCAGCAACTAGAGCTGCTTATCATCTTCCCCCGCTGAGCTGTGAGTGGGATCCAGAAGGTTGGTGTGATTTATTTTATGGGATTCCTGGGGCGCAAGGCTGGTGAAACCATGACGCGGTCTGTGACCATCAGACCAAAACCAAGCAGCCCCCTATTAAGTGTAACAAATAGTTGAACAAACTACCTCCCTTCTCCATCCTCAAGTAATTCGTCTTCCGGAGCTTAGTCTCTTGCTCCACCCGCCCCTTTCCAGGTTACAAGTAAATMATTGTCAAGGGCCAGTCAGGGGAAGGATTCAATTAAGGTTCAGTTCTGCGCCTTTGTTTTTCTGCCTGCTGTTGTAGGCACTTAGAGCTGCAGTTATTTGTTAGCAAAGGAGAGAATAGCCCTTTGTGTCTGTGATCTAATTAAACCTGCTTTTGCTGGTCCACAGGTCACAGATGGGGTTGGCTTGTGCCACCCCATAAAGTATCCACTAGGGAAGCAGCTGAACGGTGCTGCCCTGGCAAGAATTAGTTAATTTCCTCTTTGACTTCCTTCCTGCCCTTTCAAAAATAGCTTTGGTGGTGATCCTGTGATTTTTCTTCCTTTTTAAAAAATTTTCCTCTCACTGGCCCATCTCCCTCACCTTCTCTCCTGTTCCGCTGGTGGTAAAATCTTGGGCTTGAGACCTGTTTCATTAGGAGGATACTTATTTTGCCAGCCACACTTGATGCATTTTAATTCAAGGGGCAAAGTCTTATTAATACTGCAACAGTCTCCTTGTTGCTTGGAGAGCACCCCTTCAGAGCCTTTGCAGTTAAGAGGGGTGACCTCCATTTCAGATGCTACCTGGTGTAGTCAGCACAGAATCTGATGACAGCCCTAAAACATAGGTTGGTAGCTATGGCATCTGGTAGTGGCAGCCTGAGCAGATACACTCGGGTCTGCTACTGAGCTACTGTGTGCTTTGGTGGGAGGCTTTCAATAATTTTCCCACCTGGCCCTTGTATCCTATGGGTGTGCCCTTGATTTTGAGTGCTTYTCAGTGCCCATTACCAGTGCTATCTCAAAAGATGAGTAAAGTTTGAARTTTTCTGTTTTTTAATTCCATCTTGGGCATCATTATAAACTACTTTGGACAAGTCATTTATGAACTAATTCCTAACAGCTGGAATAGAACCCTACTTGAGTAATCCACAACCATCTTTTCATCCTTGGGCTTTTTGCTTGGAGAGCTCTAAATCAAGGCAGTAAGACTTAAGGATTTTCTTGTCTGCTTCCTTTTTTCAGACATAGAAGTTGAGGCCATAATTTTTAAATGCCCAGATCTTCTTATATCCCACCATGAAACCTTTCTGTCATAGGGCATTAGCTGTGCTCCTAATTTAACAATGATCACCAAACAGGTCCTGTTCCTTTGATTGTTAAAAGTGAACCACACTCTAGCCCTGCTGGACTTTGAAGAAAAACCAGTCTCCCTTGGAAATGGAGGTCTAGTTTTCATGTTTAATACTCACAGCTTTGCATTCATATTCTCTCGCTCATGGAAGAGCAGTACAAGATAAAATTGGGTGAAGACATTTAGGAGAATTTATATCTAACAGATGGGAGGACCACTGTCCAGGTGGTAGGAAATAAAAGAAAAAGTTGTCACTGCCCCACAACTCTGGGCTGGAGGACACCCCCTCCACCTCCGTCTGCTGGTCACACCGAGTGTAGCAGTGAGTGTGTTTTGTTCCAAATGAGATGCCTTGAAAGTCTCAACTTGAAGGAAAAGCGCCTATAAAACCCGCTGAGCTACTGTGTGCTCAGTTAAGGAGCAGACCACTCCAAGGAGAGGCTTTTGATAATGGCTTGAAAATGGACTAGAATAGGAAATAGATCTGTGCCAGATGATCCTTCCTGGAACATAGTGCCAGTGTTTCTACGAGGCACCAGAGATGCTAAATGTGCAACACTTAGGAATAGGGGATTCCACTGGAAATGTTCTTAGGCGTATAATGCTTAAAGAAAAGCCACAACCAACTGGTGAAGGCTCCAAGAAAGAGGGTCAGATCAACTCTTGGTTCTTAAGATGGCAGTGTTGTGGAGAAGTGATTTTTTTTTTTTTTTTTTTTTTTTAATGCCCTGGCAATGGCTACATCTGGCACTTTAGGAAAAAAAAAATATATATATATATATATATATATATATTTAATAATTTTTGTTTCTCCTTAGGAATAAGACTTTAAAACTATTTTGTACTGTGAATTACGGATGCTCTTTGAAGGAAAGAAATATCGATTCCAATATTCCTCAGAAGCTCTGGCAGGGATAAGCAGGACATCGACTGGAACGTAGGCTAAATGAAACCAGACAAATTCTATTTTCTTACCTGAGCAAATATTTTATTGAGACTGCTTATGTGTGTCAAAGAAGCCCACAACTTCAGCTACACAACTTTTTATATTAAAAGAACTCATAGTTTTTGTAGCTTTTATTCCACATTTAATTTAAAATGACTTTGTAGCACTAAAATGCCTAGCAGAAGACTTTATTCCAGACCTTTAAGAAAATTTTTAGTTTTTATGAGAAAAACACTTCAGTGGTTATACTTCTTGTGTCCCTGGTGCTTCGGGCCCTAATAGCACCATTGGACCACACGACAACCACATGGAACATATTTTTTGGAAGCAAAACTTTTAATTTTATATGACATATGCTATGGAGAGCTAAGAAAATTTAAGGACTACTTGCTTTGTTTTCTTTCTTTTTTTTTTCCTTAATGGGATTCACTGTGTTGAAGACTCTTGATATTATGTGCTTGTCTAACCATTTTTTACAAATTAGAATACAATCTTGTGTGATCACAGTCGTAAGATTTGTTTGGAAAGTTAGATTTTACTTGTGGATTTTTTTTTTTAATCAGGATAACTGTAACTTGACTGGTTTATTCAATTTTTCATTATGTTGTTTTGTTCTTGTGAGCCATGGAGAATTACACTAACAGGATGAACTTCTTATGCATTTTATTTCCCAGTAAACTGTATAAACCTTATTTTTTGTTGAAGGTTGTATGTTAAATCAATGTTATGTTSTTATACCACTTCTTGAGAAGGAAGTTCCAATTTGAAATTGTATCATTTCCTTCAAAATGAAGGGCAGTGCTTAGTTAAATAAAAGATTGATGATATCTTTTAAGCCATTTCCTCTTCACTCTGTCTTATTAAAATAAAACCCATCAAGTTCTTTTGAAAAATGTTTGAGGTTTTCTAATAAGCCATCTATTAGGGAACACTGAATTCATATTTTTCCACTTGTATATTGTACTATTTTCTGATATTTTTGATCCAAGCTCAAGCTATTGAGCTTACTATAATTTCTCAGAATGTTAGTATGTATCATGTTTGCATTGCTTAGTAAACATTTTGATGAATTCATTTAGTGACTCAAAACCTTGCATTTACGGCGTAAGAATTAATCACCCATTGCTTTTAAGCTATCGATCATGAAAAACATAAACATAAATTCTCAATACACATTGATTTTTCAGAATCAATGCAAAAATTGCTGGAAACCATGTTCTCATTGTGGAGTCTACACTAAGAAGTTATGCTGTTGGGTAACCCATGTTGTGTCTTGGGTGGGTGGTTTGAGTGCCAGTTAAAAGGAGCATGCTCACCACATGATTTGATTACAGCAATGGGCAGATGTGATCACATGGTGCTGTCGGCATGATAAGCAGCAATGCAGTTGCCAGCAGTTGGTAGGGGGAAGATGTGGAACCCCAGAGGCCTTAGCACACCCTATGCCAGTGGCTGAAGCCACCATAATCCCAAGAGTTTTCAAATACCTGGGCTTTGTTAACCGGCTTCTATGAGGATCTTAAATAAGGAAGTTGAATGCTGAAGGTTATAGGAAACTCAAGCAGTAATGAAGTCATTTTGAAAGCCCCCGTGTGGGAGTCTAATTTGTCATTGGCCTCATTTCGGAAGCTGAGGAAGGAGAACCTAAGAAGACTGTGCATTTATTCTTGGGTGGTTTTGGTGGAGGCTGCTGTGCCTATTTTTCCTAAGTGGACTGAGCTTGCTTAATGTAAGAAAATGATATGTTCCAAAGCATTTAAAAGGATCTGAAAAATGAACARACCCACAATATGTGCAGAGGGCTTTTATTTCCTTTTACTGAATTTACCAGGAAAACTGCCTATTAAACAAATACAGCAATTTTATCTGTAGAATAAATGCAAAAGCTGGCTTGTTTCTGCATCTGCTCTTGCAATAAGTATGACAGGTGGGTGGATGCTGAGCCCCAACCTAGTATCCATCTGAAATAACATCAGATTCTCCAAGGAAGAGTGATATTAAGAATAGTCTAGCACAGCAGTGGGGATATGGGTGCTGGAGTGAACTATGAGCRTATGCAGAGGCTGAGGCAAGGTAAAGTTTTAGAAGATAAAAATGAGAAGGATCACATCAGATATTTTTAAATAATCCTTGGCCACAATGATTAACAAGAAGAGTGGTGTCAGTCAGGTTGAACTGGCAATAGCCAGGCAGGTGTCCTTGTAGAATTACTTTTTGTCCAAGGTCATGATGGACTCTGCAAGCTAGTGGTTCCAGCAGAGTCTTTTGCAATAGTTACATCAGGCAATCGCATGTAAGGACCCTTCCTTCATAACCTCCCTATTTCATTTATCTATCAATTTTTGGTATTAGGGATTGAACCCAGGGGCACTCTACCACTGAGTTATACCCTTAAATACTTTTAATTTTTTTTTTTTTTTTTTTGAGACAGGTTCTCACTGATTTGCTGAGGCTGGCCTTGAATTTGTGATTCTCAAATCTCAGCCTCCTAAGCGGCTAAAATTATAGGCATGTACCACCATGCCTAGCCCAGCTTTATTTTTTATTTTGATTCTACCAACTTTCTCTTTTTTTTTTTCCACACTAGGAACTAGAACATAAAGAACATAGAGGTCTTATTTTTTTTTTTTTTTAGAAGTGATCCTGCCCCTGAGCTTGTTTCTAAGGAAAGAAAAATCAGCTGGGCACAGTAGCACACACCTGTAATCCCAGCAGCTCAGGAGGCTGRGACAGGAGGATTGTGAGTTTAAAGCCAACTTCATCGATTTAGCAAGGCCCTGAGCAACTCAGTAAGACCCTATCTCTAAATAAAATATCAWAAGGGCTGGGGATGTGGCTCAGTGGTAAGTGCCCCTGAGTTCAATCCCCAGTACCCTCCCCCCACCAAAAAAAAAAAAAAAAACAACTTCACTCACATATATAGTACAGATTATAATAAATGGAGGCCCTGTTAAGTGCCGATGATAGGTATACAAATAAAGCAGATGTGTGTGTAAGTTTAATTGGAGTTTGAAAACTGGTGGTAGATGACCACKTGGAGTGTGTAGTCCTATTGAAATCAGACCAGAGACGTGCAGGGAGAGGCAACTGGTGATGAGGGAGAAAATGATATCACTAATATTCACTCAGTACTTAACTGGGAGGCTCCTCAATTCCCAGGGCCTAATATGCAAAGATGGACTAGATCCCTAGTTTCTGTCTTTGTCATTTCCATTCTAATCACTAATCACCAAAAAGAAATTCACAAGAAGGTATTCGGTTATCTCCCGTCTGAGATAGATGGAATGGAGGAAATATGCAAGGTGTGTGGGAGAGGATTTCTCTAATGGTGAGTCAGAGGAGCCTTCCTGAGGTTGTGGTATTTATGTGGAGCCTTGGGAAGGTGGAGGAGAAAGCCAGTTGCTTTGGAATGGTCTCTGATTACATTAAGCAAGGGAGGAAGTCTGGGGAGGAAATCTATGAAGCTCAAGTGCTCCCCAGATGCTTTTGCTTTAGCTACTGGTGCTCATTCATCTCTCCCTGGGCTTCCTTGCACAACCTGTCCAGCTTGTTTCATGTGTCTTCAGTGCTTAACAAAGAACCAGGCAGAAACCATCGCTAGAATTTGAGTGAGTGAATGCATTTGGGGTTGAGCTTTGCTTGACTTGGAAGTTCCTAGATATCTCAAGGTTGTTGTGACAGTGATTTGAAGGGGATGAACACAGCAGTGGTTTTCAGGATGCATTAAACAGGGACAGCTGGGAAGGACTCTGTCCTCTCTGCCTTGAGCACTGCTGGTTGTCCTGCTAATGCTTTTGTGGCCTGAAGTTACCAACCAGGTTAGGAGGTGGAATGAGAGTTCAGGCCTTTGCCCAACACAGGTGAGTGGACAGGTGGCATTAGCAGACTGGATGGGAAGAACATTAAAACAGCAAGAGCTTTTACAGCCTTGAAACTGTGATGGGTGATTCAGCTGGCAAGCCACTGCTGTCATRCAGTGTGCAGTGCTGGGTCAAGTGTGGCCACCTGAACTGCCTCCTCTGAGAAACTTGAACGATGTGGTCAACTCCCAGGGTCTGGTTAGCTTGCTATTCAGTGAGTTCTTTTTGATCTCACAACTGGGAGGGTTTTCAGTTACAACTAAACTGTAGCTACACAGGTACCCAGTAAGCAATAGTAACTAGAGCTTTGTAGTCAAAAGTCCTGAGTTTCTCTGCTCCAGCCTCTGCTGATTCGTAGGCTGGGAACCTTGGGAGCAGTTACCTACTCTCTTGGAAACTGTTTCCTCCTCTGTACAATGTACTTGTGACACCGGTCAGTTCACTTAACTCTCTGAACTTCAGTTGTTTTTGTAAAATAATTCTATATGTAGCATTTCATATTATCATAAACCAACATAAGCATTAATATGTAATAAAATAATGGTACCATATGAGTTTTAAAGGGGGGTTGTGAGGACAAAATAAAACAATGCTTTTGAGACCCAAATGAGTAACCATTATGATTAGCTTGGAAAATCTTTGGTCATATATATGTTCAAAAGTCTTTTATCATTATTATTATTATTATTCATATATATGTTCAAAAGTCTTTTATTATTATCATCATCATCATCGTTATCATCATCATCATCATCTGTATGGTGCTGGGGATTGAACCCAGGTTCTTGTGCACACAAGGCAAGCATTCTACTAATTGAGCTATACCCCCAGCCCTCAAAAGCCTTTTTTTTTTTTTTGCCATCAGGGTGACTCTCACCTGTAATCCCAGTGATTCCAGGGGCTGAGGCAGAAGATTGCAAGT